GACTCAAGCTGTGAGGCAAAGGGATCTAGGACTAGGTGCTCTTCACACCACTCAGCCCTCGAACTGCATAAGGGACAGAGCTGCTCGCTGAAGATGTACATGTAAGACTCCTCAAATCCCGGTGAGACGCCGTGGCCTCCTTTCAACCAAAAGGGGTGGGCGCCCCTGGAGCCCGGGCCAAAGGCCTCGGCACAGCAATGAGGCCAAGTCCATGGGCCGAAGGAACTCGAACCCTACGCTAAGAGCAACCACAACAACCAGAGTCAGAAATATAATACATGTGTATATATATATATAACATTATGTGTGTGTATATATATATATATATATAATGTATGTTTTGTGTGCATATGCATACAATATGATATATGACATATAAAGTCAGTCTATCCTATCCAATATATAATATATAATGATGCTAACCTGGAGGAAGACCAACAGAAACGCAGCGTTAACAGCAAGCCGGGGACTCGGAAGGCTTTGAACTTCCCTGACTGCAGGACTCCAGGTCGAGTACAGCAAGCTGTGCAAAGAGAGAGCCACCCGAGACACAACAGTCAGTCCTCTGGTCGATCCTACGGCTGCGCTGCAGCAGTAGGGTTTAGGGTTTAGGGTTTAGGGTTGAGGGTTTAGGATCTCAGGCAAGACTTCACGGTTGCTTTCACAGTAGGCTCCCAGCTACAACAAAGCTCAAGGGCACCCCAAGCGCGAAGAAGCCCTACGACGCCACCTGTGGCGTGAAGGGCAGGGCTGGAGAGGGGGCCAGAAGCATGGGAAGCCTCCGAATTGCAACTGAAACAAGCATCGACATAGTACTAACTGGCCACCGCACCTCGACGACATGAAAACTGCCTGAGAGTGTTAAGGTCTCGTGTTCCGTGCTCTGTTCGGTAGGAAGATTGAGAAATGCAATCTAAGTAGAGTGTAGAGTTAAGATGGCCCCTCGCCTGATAACTCTATGAAAACCACGAACAATAAAAATGGAAAAGAAATGGAAAATAATGGAACCAAAAATCAAAACAAGAGACCAGGACCGACCCAGGGAATGGAAAAACAACCAAAAAAAAACGAAACCAAACATGGAACAAAAATCAAAAATAAATCAAATGCAA